TGTATTTCCATCCCGTCGATCGTTCGATCCTCGCTCTCGGACACGGGATAGATCGTTTCGGAATTTTACCGGAACGAAAGTCACCCCGCTCCGAGCCAACCGAATTGTCGAACTACAATTATTGTTTCGGCAATGTTAACACGTTAAGCAAAAAAAGAAACAATCTCAAAATTTCTCACAAGATTTAAGTATATTTTGATCAACGAAACTGAAAGTAGAACGCTAAAATTTATCGTAGGAAATATTAATTTAACTTTTTTATATTCTGAAAATCGTAATAAAATTCGGTTTGCTTCGAACACATAAGAATAAAAATTAATTTTGGAATCTAGTAAAAAAATTGGTTATTTAAATATATATATTAAAAAATTTGGATATTTCAAATACAATTATTACTTGTGCAGCTTTGAAGTGTAATTTCAGATCAGATGGCAGACATTGAACATTTGTAAAATTACATGCGCACGTTGCCTCAATTTACGCGATCCTATTAAAATTATTAACGAGAGAATTTCGTTTTGTTTTGTTGAAAATATTTAAGATAATTTCTGTATTAAAAATAATGTATCAAATGTCACTGGAGCGAGCGTTTCGCATGTAGCACGTCAAGATTCGTTTAAAATCGTGGAGATTCGTGGTTTAATGATTTACGCGTGGTATCGCAAAACAGTGAATATGCTTTTGAGGAGTGCTTCGCGATGCACAGGTTGGAGTTTACGAGCGCTTCTGCATCCAAAGATGCGTTTCAAGTAGCATTCTCCTATGTTCTCGAGTGGGTGGTCTTGAGAGGACCTTGATAATGAATTGCGCGAGCCTTTGAGATCGGGTCTCGAGCTTTTATTAAGTTTAACGGACTTCGAGAACGGGCAAATTTTTTCAGAAAATAACATCTGTGTTTTTAACGATTTATTACTATTTTTGTTTATTCTTTGGCGCAGAAGTCGAACAGAGAAACGTACGAGTCACCGCGGGGCGATTCTTATGTCACCGCTTATATCACTGACATTCCATTTCACCATATTTTCCTTTTTCAAAGCTGAAGGAGAGGGAGAGAGAGAGAGAGAGAGAGCAGGCAAGAGAAAAAAGGGAAAGAAAAAGAGAGAGAGAAAAAGAGAGAGAGTTCGCACCCTGCGTGGCTCGGCCACTTTCGAGGCAACCTGTGTTTACCGACGGAAATATCGAGCGTAGCTGACTAACATCCAAAATATTGTTTTTTCACCGGCAAACGGGTCGTCCAAGACTGGATCGCGCGTGGGCGGGGATCTAGAGGAACCTGGCCAACGGCGGGATTACAGGCTCGTGCGAGAACTTATTGTCGTCTTAAACATCCGAAAGAATTGCACTCTCGACGATCGAATGGGTCGTGACTTCTCGGTGTCGACGAAACAGGGACCTCTCGCGAATTCCTTGTCGCGAAAATGCATGCCCGATGGCTGTTCTTAACGAAAAAAGAACAAAATTTCGTCAAGAACGAAAGAGATAAAGAGCAACTAAAAACGTTTCCAACGTTCGCTTTTGCACACTGTGTCCAATCGATCGCTATAACGATTCTAGTTCTAAAATTATTTTTGACACTGAACTGTTGAAACTACAACGACTCCTTCTTAAGAAACGATTGAATAAATGCCATCATTCAAGCTTACGTTACAATAAAAATGGCAAAAAGTCAATAATAAATTAAGTCTTATCATTCTAATAAAATAGCACACGTTGGTCGGTTATATGTATAGGCGGTGAAACTTGGACAAATTTCGCAGCAAAAGTGGGCCGCAGCCACACACGCGGCCTATTATTTGTAACTTACGATAGATTTAGCGTTACCACAGCAGAAGACGCAACGAACCTTCCACCGAGGCTTTATTTTAATTGTCCGAAAAGGTTGACTAATTTCAACGATTCTTAAAAAATCGAAGATCAACAACCGAGTCGTGTTATCCAACAGCTTGAGACTATCGTTCCAAAGAAACATATTAAAACCCTTTAAACGGGTATGCATTTGATCATGATGAAGCTATAAAATTTCTTTTACCCTCTTGTATTTATCTTTACACCTTTTTGGGACGGGTGTTGCGTCTCGTTGCTGGTAGCGACCCGAAATTATGTATCGGGAATCGATCGCCCACTCGAGACCAGAAAGAAAGCGGAGAATGTCGGGATCGACGGTGTCGATGATCTTGCGCCTTGAATTTCGGGAGACGCTCCGGGGACAGGGGTAATCGAACGGTCTCGATGCATCGATTATTTCATCGAGCTGCCCGGTGAGATTACTCATCCGCGTGGATATAGAAACCCGGCGTGGGTGGCGACTATAAACATGCGTTCCCAAGCCTCTCCTTACTTCGGTGCATCGAGTTCTTCGTGAGTATCGCGTGCTTCCTCAAAAATAGCTATTTGCGTTTTCGTTTGTGTTTCGACTTCGAGCACAAGTGCTTTTACGAAATTATATTGATTCTCTCTGGGAGACATTCTGTCCCGAATTGGCCCACGGTGTATCCGATCATTTCTCGTTCGCTTTGAATTTCGATTCCATGTTTTAATCGATTCTCCATAATCGCACAACTTTTTAAACAACGACTTCAGGATCAATTCTAAACTCTGTCCCTAAAGTGTCCAGCTCGAAGGTTCGATCATCCTAAGCGCTTTCAGTTCTCAATGTTGCATGTAGAGAATGAAAAGTAAGGTAAAGATTTGAAGGAAACGGAAAGATGAAGAAGATAAAATCCGAAAAATGATGTTGCCCGTTGGATCTACTAAAGATGATAAAAAGCACGCTATATTGCTGCAGCTAAATGCAAATATGAGCGATTTGGGCAGAGCAACTCCGCGTTGGTCACTTCGCGATGTTTTCCTCGTCGAAATATAGGTCGAGCAGCTTTTTCTCGGAATTCCCGCAAGGCCTGCATTAGAGGCATCGCCAAAGAACTGATTCCATACTGTTCACCATGTTCGCCTCGACCTCGCGTTTGCGAACTTCTCTGAAGCCTCTACAAACCAATCGTGACTAAGGAATGGTTCCGATCAAGGAAAATGTTTACGACGGAATCATGCTCTACATCCTGCATTCTCCTAACAAGTGGTTTCCTTGCAGGAAGCTGCTTGTGGTAGAAGCATTTACTACGTTCCGGAACTTACAGATTCAATTTTTATTAATAGACTACTTATAATGGAATTATCGTATACTTATGAGACCTTTTTTTACATGCTTAATTGTTATCGAAGGTTTTTACGCGACAGGGACGATTTTTCTAACAGATCCGTTTCGTGGATTCCGAATTTTACGCAACGTTTGCAACGGCCGAAGCCCGACTGTTCGGAAGAATTGATGGAAAACGCGAGGTTCCGGCCCGAAATCGCAGACGTAACACTATGGGCGCGAACCGGCGAGATCCCGACCTTTCCCAATCCCCTAACGTGCTCCAAAAAGCAGCCGCTATTTCCGTAGCAACCTGGAAACAGAGAAAATCAACTGCGCAGATTACCTCGGTCGCCGAAACCGTCGCCGCGACCGTGTTCCTACCAAAACAGCTACCGACTTCGAACTATTCCCGTATGGTGCTCCCAGTCCCTCGGTCCAGGGACCTCCTGACTAAACTTCTTCACCGCCATCGAAGCCAGAAAACGGCGAACGGACCTCCACCCACGTCCAGCATCGAACGGGGAAAAACGAAGAAAAAAGGCGAACCACCGCGAGCCGCAAGATGGCAGATAAAAATACAAACATCTCCGTCCACGAATTAGGTAGCTCCGACCGCCAAAGTGGAAACCAGTTCCGACTATCCTACCATTTCTGGCAGCGAGGCGACGCGGTCGTCCGAGAGACAGCGGTCCCGAGTAGCTCTCTCACTTTTACTTTTAGCTAAGAGCCGGCCGCGTCGATCGCAAATCTTCGATAAACAACCGGCCGTCCGAGGTGCAATCACTCATCTTCCAGACGCTTGTACAGCCTGCTAGGCTCGGCTAAACTGCGCGGACCAGTCTGCTCCTCCATTCTTCGCACCCTATAGACCTAAACTCCACGAAAATTCCCTCCGCGCGGGGAGCCTCGTCGACGAACCCGGGACCAGGCACTACGGTTTCGCGAATCCACTCGTTCTCTCACAGTTTTCGAGCTTCGAAAACACTCGGATTACTATACCCGAAACGATTTTTGCGTTTACACGATCGCCAGGCTGTTCGTCGCGGCTGTAGTCGACTTCGTCAGCGACCAATAGGCTCGTAGCTACCACTAGTCGCCGATCTTTGGATACGTGTCTGTCAGAAACCCTACAGTCTATTTGCCAAGAGCTGTTCGTCTGCAAAAATTCAATGCATAACTATTAGGTTGGCCAATAAGTCGTCGCGTTTGTCCCCATAGAAAAACGCAACGACTGGCCAACCCAATACAACCCAGAAGAATACTAACGAGCACCCGACTGTTGGCGTGCGCAACCATCATCGACGATTGTTGCTTAACAAGCATCATGTTTTTGGTACCTCGAAACCGTCTTTGTCAAGAAAGCTTGCTAAACGTTCGACCTACACGACACCTACGTGTTTCCCATTGACAAGAGCTAACATACTTCAGCACGTTCGCTACCACGGACACACATCCGTGGTCTCTCTCCACGAAGATAGTCAAATTACTGGCGTCCTTATCTAAAATCATAGTACACGGAACAAAGCTCGCGGTGTCCATGACATCTTTCCGCTAAACTCTTCCGAGGCATTCGACCGACGAAAAGAGAAACGGCGAAGCGAACGATGCTAGCGATCGTCTAAAGCAACAGCGTACGAAGCAGATCGGCGAATGTTTATAACAACACAATCTCCGGATATCAAGTTTCCCAGACATTTTCTGCTCTCGCGGAACGGACTGTGCTTCATGGATTGGCGAATTGGAGCCAGAGCTTCGCTGCCTTAGCTACCATTTCGGGCGGCGGGTTAAGCGAGCAGGTCAAGGGCCTCGGTCCTTCGCGTTACAGGGGTTGCAAAAGAGTGCGGAAGGGAAAATCCATTCTTACCCCACGATCGTCGACGTGCTCATGTCGGATAGCCTCTGGTATCCGGTGGACGATACGAAATCCGGAGTGCCTCGTGCCGCTTTCCACCAGCCGATAGGAACCGGTTCTTCTCCTCTCCTCTGCTCGTGGCTGTCCCTCGGAGAGGTTCGTGTTGCGAAGAGGTGGAAGGTGCTGGGTCTATGGAAAGGGACGAGCAGCACCGATGCCGACACTAGCGCGCGCCCGCTGCTACTGCGGCAAAGAGATCCCTTGGATCGTGGATCACGCTCCCTACCCGGCCGCCATTGGATCTTCTTCCTCGCTGGCTGACCGCCGATGGCGCGTCTGCTCGAATCCCGGCCTCGGTTCGAGCGATACCTGCCTTGATCACCGAACGTCCTAAACACACGATCGAATCAGAAATTCATTCCGCGGGTGCTAGTCTGGGTTTCAAATTATGCTCCGTTTCTCGGAAGAAGGCCTGCCGATTTGATGATAGATACGTTGCTGGTCTGATCTAATAGGTGCACAGGTATGTTCTTTCGAGATACAGGTAGTGCAGTAGTTTGATAGACTTCGTACTTGCGATACGTCAGCGAAGAGCAAGAAGCGGTAAAGAGAAAATTTTGGTCTTCAAGGTACCAGTACCAACAAGGTACCATTTTACTCAGGATCTCTTATGCGACTGTTTCTGAAGTGTATCGTGTCACAGTTGAGTCTGACGAACTTCTTTGTTCGAGCACACCTTATCTACGAGAGGATTAATTTAGCTTCGTGATTATTGGACTGCGGATTTTATGCATTTATGATAAAAATAGTTAGGTGAAATTTAAGACATCGAAACTATTTTTAGAAAAAATTAAGAGCGAGTGTGTAATATTTTTAACTCACTGAAATTCTTTTAATAATTAGGATGAAAGAAATTTCTATGTGACTTATGTTTGTTGGAATTGACACAGACAATTTTTATTTTGCATAAAGATTGTTTGCATCGATTGTAACAAGCAAGAGAGTATGGAAAGTAGAAATATATTTCTGTGTTTGATCATTGTAGTGAGTTGAAAATAATGCATCGATAGCCTCAAATCTTTGGAATCTTTCGAGTGCTTAAAATTGTATCTACTCGTTTCTACCATAATTGCATAATCTAGCGATTCATTTTGGTCACGTATACCGCTCCGTGGTTCCAAAGTTTAAATACTTTCCAATGTAAAAAGGTAGCTAATAAGAAGCTAATAAGCATTATGAAATTAGCGCAATAGATTTTGCAACGTTCGCATTGTTTTATACGCCACGTGAGCGCATAATTCGTGAACCACCGGGGACAAGATGGCGGTGCATTTCGTCGATTCTTCCTGGCCGCTAATCTCATTTTTTTCTAATCGAGAAGAGGCGTGTTACGCGATACTAGAAAGCAGCATTCGTTCCAGCTGATCGCCGGCATAACTCAAGAAAATAATAACATCGATCAACGCGCCAGATGGTTTCTTGTCGGACAAATGAACCCGGCGCAAAAAACAAAGTTTCTTGATCTGGTATTACGACTTCATAGGGATCGGTGTTTCCGTTGGCCACCGTTGGCCAACCATGACGTAAAACTTGGATTGTCTTTGGGAACAATGACTGTAACGCGTATCGTCGCTTTCTTCACGCGAATTCCAGCTAGAACCGTTCTTTTTTTCCCGCAGACAAAAACGGGTACACCGTGTGCCCCGTTTCGCAAAAGGTGTTTGGCAACGGATATTTGCGAGCCGGCGACGAAATCGCGACCGATCGACCGCGAAATTTATTCGCAATAGTTTGCGCGTTCCTTCGAGAAATGATTTTTCCATTCGACGATTTGGTGGGAACAATTTAATCACGTTTAACGATACAGCTTAGATACTAAATAACGCTCGCTGCTACTTTTCTCGGTTTTACTTGGCCCTACATTTAATTTCTACGCAAGAAATTCGGTCGACAAGCGTTGATTTTGGGAAACGCTAAAAGCATTTTATGCTACACTGATGGGACCACAAATGTTGATCCGAATGAACAATTAATACGAAATATACAGTTTCCAGCAATCGGCAGACTCTAAAACACCTGTCTCATCGTGAACTACCAGAGACAACTAAAAATCGATCGTCCCTGGAACAACTCAAACACCGTGCCGCAATACCTCTGTAGATTTCGACGAGGTCCAGATTTTTCAAAAGTAAAGATAGCTCTTACTTCCTAAGACGTGTAGCAACATACCCTAAAACATATAGAAAACCACGGCGTACAGTTTTCCCAATAAAAATTCCCAAAGATCGCACACGATTCGAATGAACGCAGTCTTCTAATTTCGCTGAAAAAAGTTGCAGAACGCCTTCAGCGTTAATGTTCGCCAACTGCAACGGACTTGTCGAACTCCCTCTCGTACTCAGAAGTATCCAACATGTACGCTGGCAGCGTGAACCCGAGTACTTTATCAAATACCGGCCTGGTCTCGGCAACATAAGCATAGGCGTCCACGCCCTTTGTTTCTTCCTGGGATCTCTGATTTTCGGAAGAGTCATCCTTCACCCGACGAACCTCGGTGGCAGCCGCATGGGAGTCCCGAGGAGAGTCATCGACGCGTCTGTCGACGGTCGACGATCTGGGCACCTTCCTGCTAGGCTCGACATCCTCCTTGGATTCAGTTTTCTCGGACTTGTCAGCGCCCGAGTCCTCGGTGGTAGCAAACGCGCATTCTTCCTGCCGGAAACCTTTCTCGTCGACGCACTGGTAGCAGGTCATCTTGTCCCTCATCAGCTTCTTGCAGTTGGATCGGTCCTCCTTCTGGAAGTCCTGCAGAACTTTCCTGATCTCCGCTTTCTTCTCGAAGGCGTCGTAGAACCGCTTATCCGGCGATTCTGTAGACGGCTGTTCTTTGGTTTCCGGTTTGGACTCGCTGCTGGAGGGGAACTCGTCGTAGTCTCTCTTAGGACTGTCCGTGTCCTTGGAAGCTGCTTTGTCGGATGTGAAGCCGTAGTACCTGCTGGAGTTGATGTTTCTAGCTTTAGTTTGAATAGGGTACAGAAGATACTTATAAAAGAGGATCAAGTGCACTTGTTCGTAAGTGGCAGTCATGGTACAATTCATGGTAAGGCGCATCTATAGACTTCAGCGAAATACAAATACAATATAAATCAAGAAGAGCGTCTTAACCTGCTCCCTATCAGCTGTGTTGAAGATGAATGAATTGGACACAAAGAATGGAGACTTTTTTTTAAGAACGAGGACATTGCTCCTGAGTCTTACAAGGTAACGATCGAAAGATCAAAGCTCACACTCGACCATCTTTAAAACCAACAGACCTGCCATCAAAGGAAGGTTCCTTGGACTCGCTCTTCTCAGACTCTTCCGTTGACTTGTCCTCAGACTTGGTAGGGTTGCCGAACGACTTGGACTTGGTATAAGCGAACTTCTTCTCACTGGGCTGGAACTTGTAGGAGCACTGTTCCGAGACGGCTCCAGTCTTGGGGTCTTTGCACATGGTGCAGGTCATGGTGTCCTTCTCGACCTCCTTGCAATTACTAGGTTCGATGCTTTTGGCGATCCTCTCGGACTCGGACTTGGACTTTTCATAATCGGAAAGGAAACTTTCGGCGTCTCCTGACTTCTGATACCTGGCGCTGGGTTCCTCCCGGTCCTTGAAATAGCTGGAGCCGGATTTCTGGTAAAAGTCCTCTGGGACTGAATAGTCACTGCTGTAATCAGGCTTCTGCGAGTAGCTACTTTTGTAAATGGGAACTTGAGTGGTGCTGGAGTAGTCCTCGGACGGAGCCTGTTTGTTACCGAAGCTCTTGGACCTGGTGTACTTGTAGACCTTGTCGTCGGGCTGGTAAGCGTAGGAGCACTGCTCCGACTTGGACCCCGTTTTGGGGTCACTGCAGATGGTGCAGGTTTTAGAGTCCTTCTCTACCTTCTTGCAATTTGGTTCGCTAGCCTCTTTGCGCAGCTTCTCCGAATCCTCTTTCTCCGACGCTTCTCTGACCGGTTTCTTTTCGGAATAGTCTCTACTGGATCTCTCTTCATCCTCATCCTTTTTGTCCTCTGGGTCCTTGTAGGACTTGCTGTAGGAGAACTTCTTCTCCTTAGGTTGGCTGACGTAGGAGCACTGCTCGTACTTGCCGTTGCTCTTCTTGTCTCTGCAGATCATGCAGACCATCGAGTCCTTCACCACCTTCTCGCACTCTTCGTCCTTCATCTTGTACTCAGCTGGCACATCCTCCGCCGCATCTGAGAAGATCTTATCGTTGAATCGGTACGGGGTGCTAAGGCTTCTGTAGTTCTTGCTCTTAAAGTCGTCCTCAGAGCTGGATCGCCTGAACCTGAAGGTAGCCGGCGGCTCCAGCACTTTCTCTACCTTGCTGGACTCCGACAGCGGCTGGGACACGTAGGAGCATTGCTCGTAAGTAGATCCATTCTTCGGGTTCTTGCATTTAAAGCAGACCAAGCTGTCCTTCGCATTTTTGTTCTTACTGGCCCGCTTGCTCTTGCTCTCCTGGCAGTAAGGCACTCCGGACTTCAGCACGATGTCCTTATAGAGCGGAGAGTCCTTTTCTGTGATCGTGTACACCGGGGATATGATCTTCTTGTAGTTCTTGTCTTCTCTGGGCTCCTTTTTGAAGTTCGTTGCGAACCAATCCTTTGGAGGCTCGTAGGAGGATTCGTAATCCGGCTGTCTCTTCTTCAGGGCTGAAAACGGGCTGTAGGACGATGAATGCTCGGACGATGCGAAGTCCAGGTGGTCATCGCTGGCCCAAGAGTGGTGTTCGCTGGGGAACGAGTCGAAGAGGGCAGGGTTGAACGCTGCCTGCGCTGAGACCAAGATGGTCGCTAGTGTGAAGCACACCTGGAATTTGGGAAGAAGATTGGTTCGATAAAATTTTCTTTAGAGTAATAGGATCAGCAAAAAAGGAGGAGCAAGTTATGTTCGTAACGCTAGTTACGTGATGTTAATAAACAAAGAGGACCTTGTAGGAGGCCATGCTGCTAGTCGATCCAGAAGCTAGTTTCCGGTTTTGGCTCGAAGAGTCACATCACTTTCCCATGAAGTGATCTGGGCACCGTTCGGAGAGCCTTTATATTGACTTGGGGATCCGAATAGACTCGCCCCACCATGCTGTCAATGATCCAGTCACGTGGATTGGAAACATTTGAATCAGAGACCGTAAAACAGCGTCGGTGACTGATCGACCGTGGTGACTGATAAAACTATGATTTTTGCTTTCCTTCGTGTAAAAAAGGTGACGGCTGCCGCATGCAGGCATCTGACACACTCGAATTGCGCTTTTACTATCAACTTTCCTGATACTCGAGGCCTACTTAGGGAGGTTTTCGATACAGTTTTATATTTCTTATTATAAACGAGAGCATATAGATTATAGATTTTCTTCTTTTTATTTATATATAGGAGGTTGATAATAAAATAAAATAAAATTTAAAATAAATTGAGAATGCCAAGAGATCATTTTTTTGTAAAATGAACTTATGTAATTAGTAAACTGCGAATTTTATGCAGTGGTCACTTATCAAAATTATTACGAAAAGAATTATATTTTAGTATATTTTAGTAATTAACTTTAGAAGGTTGGAAGGTTGGAAAGTAAAGGAAGGATTGTCGTTCTTCTTGTCTGCACCTTGTTAGAGGATAGTTAGAGTGGTTCGTGGTTTCCACAAATTGGATAAAAGGGCAACATCGAATCGTGACTGTGGCAAAACGTCGCGGATCGAAACGACACAGCCGAACGATCGCTGTCTTTTCGCTTTCGTTTGCGCGATTTCGTCGCCGTGGCAGATGAAAAACTCCCGAGACGGTGGTGGTCTGACAATTTTGTCGGTTTCAAACGAGGTGTCGTTATCGATCGAAAGAAATTCTAATCGCCGGTAACGAGAAATCGACTTTCCTTTGCCGGCAAGAAAATAAAAGCAACTCGATTTTCAAATTCTGTACAAGTACGAAGACTGTCGCAAATATTGCCATCTAAAAAAACAGACTACGATTTTATAAATTTTAAACTGGAGAAAATAAAACTCAATTCGCTAAAATATTTTTAAGGTAAATAATTGAGAGAAATGGACCGACTGAATTTAAAAAATCGATTTCAATAAAGTCACTTCGGTGTTCGATTTTACTAAATTTTAGTGATCATAACAATCGTAGTTCAGCAATTCTCGATCTTCGATTGCACCCATGATCGATTGCATAACGATCTGAGGAAACTGCGTTCGTCGCAAACTGCGTTCGATCGACTCAGGATTGTTTCCGGCAGATTGGGAGAGGCGTGAAAAATCAGCGGAACAAGCGGTCGGTGTTGGCGTTGTGAAAGAGTGAAAGACACCGACCGTATAGAAAATTTATTCGCCCTCTTGTTTCTCTGTGGCAATGTTTATTAACAATGTCCAGCCTGCGGGACGCGATCGTCGGTACAGTTTCAATTTCCTAAACACTTTAACTGTCAGAAATCTATCAAAGAGCACTGCCAATACAAAATTAAATGTTTTACGAACCTTACGCATTCACCAACGTTAAACATCTGCGAACTTTGATTTACGATTTAAAAAAAAACAAAATAGGTTGTTTCGGTTGTGTTTCAATTATTTAATAAAATGCTAGTGTTCGACAAGTTATCCTAATAACCTTCAAACTGACTGCATCGCATGAAAAAGAAGCTTAAGAACAAAAGTTACTCGAAATTGCATTGCCAAGAAATCTTCAACTGTAAATGATAGATTCTAAAAAGAACCGAAGCACATGAAGCTTTTGCAATTCTCAACTCCGGATGAAACATTTTTTATTCTACGAATAAAACATACAAGGTTCGCCAGATGAGTGTGTTAGCGTAGAAATATGGAGGTTTCGTTTCTATTTTCGTAAACAAGTGTTTGCAGGTCGTCGACCCGCGTGAAAGTCTGCCGTCTAACGATCTTTGCATGTTTGTCCTTTGAACGATCACTCTTTGAAGGGAATTTGTCGCGGGTAAACGGAGATGTGGGATACGCGAAGAGGGTTCGTCGACTTCTCGAAGAATGCGTTGGTAGGGGCTGGTTTCAGCTGCAGTTTCGACGCCATCTTCTGCAGCATCATCTTTTCGTTTTCGACGCTTCTCTTCGTTTTCTTCTTGTCTTTTGGCTTCTCCTGCTGCGAATCGTTCTTCTTCCGGTAGTAGAGAACCTCGCCAACTAGCGTGACCATTGCCAATGCGAGGCCGAAGAGGGTTGCGATGAACACTCCACCTGGAATTCCATTGGAACAAGTGAAACACTTCGTTTCCAATTTACTAAGTTAAATCTAGAAGTAGCTAACTGTCCAACAAGGCTATTGGTCAGTAATTTTATAAGAGTATAATTTTCAGAAAATAATACCAAGAAGTTTCTTTTATGAGTTTTTATCATCTTCGGTCCTACACTTTAATTCAACAAGTTGTATTTGTCTTCTAGCTTCGTAGAGAATCGATGAGCTACACAATAACAGATGATTCAAAGATTTTGTAGCATTTGAGTAAAGAAAATGGAAGAATTTCCACCCTAGCAGTTAAAAATGTATCGATTGAACCTATTCTCTTTACCCAAGCTCTCGAGAGTTATGCCTTCGTTGTCGTCGGAGTCCAAGCACTGTGCCTTCAGCGATTGGTTCCAGTACTTCGAAGTCAGAGTCTCGAAGTACCTGTCCTTCTGCAGGTCCAGGATCCTGGAACCGTTTAGACAAAATAACTCTCGAGCATTGATACAACTAAGTCGTAAACAAAAGACGATAGAAAAATGTCCTGCCGGTCACCTTCTGCTGATTTCCTCCTGCAGGTGGCTTCCCTGTTGGACAGCGATTGCATAAGGCTGTTCAGCGAACACCTCGCCAACCTCCGTCAGATTGCAGTTCCTCGTTACTTCATACTTGATCTCCGACGAGTCGTGGATGAAAGCAAACTCGGAGCTCTCGCTTTCTATCACCTGGAACAACGGCAAAAAGTGGGCGATTTTTCTGCGACACGATCGAAAAACACGGATGATCGTTCGCACCTTTCGAAAGCCTTCCTCGGAGCTCTTCACGGGACCAACCTGCATGATCGCTTGCAGAATGTGACCGTACTGCTCCTTTATCGGATAGTCCCACACTCTGTACTCTGCTTGGTCGCTGGTACTGTTCAAAGTGATCTCCTTCCACACGCTAGACAAATTTTCAATTAAATATCCAAGGTATTGACATCGATTTCCTGAGATCAGGTCATTTCTCCAGTAATTATGACAAAATTTGTTCAATTATCAATTAATCAAGAGGAGAAGTTCACTCACGTGTACAGTTTGAACTCGGCCCTCTTCATGTTCTTGAAATACTGATGAACGCTCGAGTTCGCCAAAACGGTATAATTTATTCTCGACTGCCTCGCCAGCTGTTCCAACGATTGCACCGGTGTCTGTATTAATAGAAGAGACATAAGATTAATTAAAATAAAAAATAATTAGATTAATAGAATAAGTCATAAATACCATACATTTGTCGGAGGTCTAATTAATTATAGGAAACAAACCTGCATTCGTTCGACGGTGAGGAAGGCAGCTAAGTTTGCTGTAAAGGTGGCCAACATCAGGACCACGAAGAGCCAATAGGCAGCAACGAGGGTCCTGCTGGACAGAGCTTTCGGAGCTTCGCCACCTCCTTGAGGTGTGAACGAAGTCAGGGCGAACCAGAAGCTCTCCTTCAGTGTGAAATCCCTGCGGAAAAAATTGGGAATAATTTCAAGAAGCAATTGTTATGATAAAATCTATAATTTATTAACACGTTCCGTGCCACGTGTACCATCGATGGTACACGCTTGCATGTTTACTTAGTGAACTGAACAAATTGTTTACAAGAAATTTAGAACCGAAGAATCAATTTCCACCGCAAGAATGGGCGTTGATAAGTTTTTGTTACGTTGTTATGTGTACGAGAATTAATAATTGCACGTAATACATCAAGTTTTAGTAAAATATCAAAGTGTGAAGATTCGAGTAAAAAAAGCTCGGCACGGAACGTGTTAATTAGTGAAGAAAGTAGGAGCTATTGAATTAAGAAGGATATACAAACCGGCAAGGGTAGGGATAAAGTCGTTTGTTGTTCCTCGAACTGTAAGGGGAATACTTGTCGAGGATCCAAATCATTACAGCCGTCAAAGTCAACGCCCCCACGATGCTCAACCAGACTTCAACCTTGAGGACCGTCATGAACTTGAAGAGAGACGGCTTGCGGACGGGTTTTCTCATCACTGTCAACGAGAAACTGCAATTAATCGATCAATACATATCTATACATACGAATTCTTACCAATTAGTATACCGGACTGTTCGAAATAGGGTGCGACAAAATCAATGACCTCCTCACGTTCTGACGTCATCGTCAACGATGCGACCACGATGTCCGTTTCCTGTAAAACATATTTTTTAATTAAAATAGTGACAAAAATTTTAAAAATATTGCTTTCAATCGAGCCTTGCGAATGCAACCCGTTGTGTACGACAGTCGAGACAGTAACAGTTTCTTAGGTGCTCAAGTATACTATACTGATTATGATAGTATAATGGTACTATTATAATAGTATGACGACCTTCGCGTTTTAAAATTAATTTTTGCGACACGATAAATTAAATCAAATCGAATAGGACCTAGTTGCATTTTTCCAACTATACTTACCCCTTTCGCAAGGTCACCGATCAAACCGTCCCACTGTCCATTAGACAATTTCTTCCCGAATTGTCGATCCTCCGGTATAACCAGATCATAATCGAACTGCATTTCTTCGGATAATTTCTTAATGAAATCNTGATCGCTTGCAGAATGTGACCGTACTGCTCCTTTATCGGATAGTCCCACACTCTGTACTCTGCTTGGTCGCTGGTACTGTTCAAAGTGATCTCCTTCCACACGCTAGACAAATTTTCAATTAAATATCCAAGGTATTGACATCGATTTCCTGAGATCAGGTCATTTCTCCAGTAATTATGACAAAATTTGTTCAATTATCAATTAATCAAGAGGAGAAGTTCACTCACGTGTACAGTTTGAACTCGGCCCTCTTCATGTTCTTGAAATACTGATGAACGCTCGAGTTCGCCAAAACGGTATAATTTATTCTCGACTGCCTCGCCAGCTGTTCCAACGATTGCACCGGTGTCTGTATTAATAGAAGAGACATAAGATTAATTAAAATAAAAAATAATTAGATTAATAGAATAAGTCATAAATACCATACATTTGTCGGAGGTCTAATTAATTATAGGAAACAAACCTGCATTCGTTCGACGGTGAGGAAGGCAGCTAAGTTTGCTGTAAAGGTGGCCAACATCAGGACCACGAAGAGCCAATAGGCAGCAACGAGGGTCCTGCTGGACAGAGCTTTCGGAGCTTCGCCACCTCCTTGAGGTGTGAACGAAGTCAGGGCGAACCAGAAGCTCTCCTTCAGTGTGAAATCCCTGCGGAAAAAATTGGGAATAATTTCAAGAAGCAATTGTTATGATAAAATCTATAATTTATTAACACGTTCCGTGCCACGTGTACCATCGATGGTACACGCTTGCATGTTTACTTAGTGAACTGAACAAATTGTTTACAAGAAATTTAGAACCGAAGAATCAATTTCCACCGCAAGAATGGGCGTTGATAAGTTTTTGTTACGTTGTTATGTGTACGAGAATTAATAATTGCACGTAATACATCAAGTTTTAGTAAAATATCAAAGTGTGAAGATTCGAGTAAAAAAAGCTCGGCACGGAACGTGTTAATTAGTGAAGAAAGTAGGAGCTATTGAATTAAGAAGGATATACAAACCGGCAAGGGTAGGGATAAAGTCGTTTGTTGTTCCTCGAACTGTAAGGGGAATACTTGTCGAGGATCCAAATCATTACAGCCGTCAAAGTCAACGCCCCCACGATGCTCAACCAGACTTCAACCTTGAGGACCGTCATGAACTTGAAGAGAGACGGCTTGCGGACGGGTTTTCTCATCACTGTCAACGAGAAACTGCAATTAATCGATCAATACATATCTATACATACGAATTCTTACCAATTAGTATACCGGACTGTTCGAAATAGGGTGCGACAAAATCAATGACCTCCTCACGTTCTGACGTCATCGTCAACGATGCGACCACGATGTCCGTTTCCTGTAAAACATATTTTTTAATTAAAATAGTGACAAAAATTTTAAAAATATTGCTTTCAATCGAGCCTTGCGAATGCAACCCGTTGTGTACGACAGTCGAGACAGTAACAGTTTCTTAGGTGCTCAAGTATACTATACTGATTATGATAGTATAATGGTACTATTATAATAGTATGACGACCTTCGCGTTTTAAAATTAATTTTTGCGACACGATAAATTAAATCAAATCGAATAGGACCTAGTTGCATTTTTCCAACTATACTTACCCCTTTCGCAAGGTCACCGATCAAACCGTCCCACTGTCCATTAGACAATTTCTTCCCGAATTGTCGATCCTCCGGTATAACCAGATCATAATCGAACTGCATTTCTTCGGATAATTTCTTAATGAAATCAATGCAATAGCCCTCCCAAATTTCCTTTCCATTCTCATCTTTCATCATTTGTCCGGTGACTGGGTCCACTTTGGCAATTGTCCAGGGAACTGACTGATATAGTTTTGAAACTTATGTTACAATAGATCATACGCACAAATAAGATATATTATAAAATACATAACAATTTTGCTTGTTATTAGTGGAAGCATTAATCAATTACGGGCGCGATCCCGATGCGAAAGAATCGTCTCGCAGGTTCTATCTTCTTCCCATCGAGTTCCTTGATCTTGCTGCGTCTGGTCCAGGTGGCCAACTGATCTATACCATTGTTCTGCAGCACCTCTATATCGATTTCCGCTTTGTACGTGATAAGCCGTTTGTCGGACCAGTACTCGAACGTGTCGTTCCCACCTAATTTCTATGTCCATTAATTGTTCACCTTAGTATCCCAATCAAATCGATGACAGTAACACTTTTAACTTGAACTCACAGCAAGCAAGTTCTTGTTGAACGCTTCAGAAGTGACGTTCGAAGACGTCCGAGTTCCATTTGTCGGTGAACATTGAACTTTTCTAGCCGCCACGTTGACCCCCGACTTGTAAAGGTCGCTCATAAGGTTCACTATGAGGGCCAACAACCGTTTGAAGTAGAAGTTGAATATCTGCATAAATAAGAGCAAACATATATATATATATATATATTTCAGTGGAGTAAAGAAATTCTCCTAGGAACTTTCGATCAACGATCTACTAGGCATCGACTAGGCAACTATCTTGATAGGTCTGTCAATTCTTCTCACAGAGTATTTCTCCAAAAATTGTCATTTACTTCAACATCAGAAGGACAAGTGCAAGACGGTTCGCCCATCAGCCGACAGCAGACTTCCGGTCGCGTCGTTAGAACTGTGACGGAGACGTTCAGCGGCATTTCTCCGTCGATGTACTTCGATTCCTTGTAGTTGTTGTCGGTGAACACCAGGTTCCAGATTCCGTCCCTCTTCACCAGCCCTCCTTGCACGGCCTTTAACATGTATCATCATTGTAATCGCACAAATTCGCCCAAAAAGATTCTAGAAATCAATTTAAGATTGTAATTGAACACCACAGTCTATTGAATCAGTTTATTTCCAAGTTGTTAATTATTACAGTCGATCACATTTTTTATTTTCAAATTGATGAAATTATGAAGACTTTTTTTTAAGAAACGATTAAATCTTTAGTCAAACTTATATTATCAAAAATTACATTGTCTTTCACGCGATACATATTTATTGGCGATCCACTGATAAAGTAGAAACATTTTTGAACGTTATTTTCATCTTCTCTCTCTCTCTCTCGGCTTTTCATTATAAACTCATAAATGCAATGACGGTCTATAAAGTTCACGTTGATTTTCGAGCAGTAAAAATGATCTTATTCTTCCCCATTGCGTATTTAGAACATCAAGTACAATTGAACGTTTTAATCGTGAATGGAAATGTGACCACATACAACGATATAAAAATGCGAAAAAATGTTGAGTCAGTTATAAAATTTGGAAAACGTCCTCTTACCGTCTTGAACAGCTCGTCCATCTTGGACGTGCTGGCGTAGATCGCGTAGTACGACGGCGACGGTCTCATGCTCCGTATCTTGGACACGGTCTTCTCCGTGAACTCGTCGATCACGACCAATCGGACGATCGAGTTCCCGATCAGATAGTACAAGCTCTGGTTCAGCTCTGAAAGAATCGGTTCGTTTAACGAGCAGCTGGGTCGAGGACGATCGCGCGTGAAAGACAAGGTACCCCTTTCATCCTCGAAGATCAAGCCGACGTCCGTAGCGTTCTTCATCATCAAGAGATCGTCGATCGCCTGCACGAACGAAGTGATCTTGCTATCTCCTCGTTTGTATATTATTCCATTTTCGTCGGCCACCGTGCGAAGCTTTCCCCAGCCTGTCCAGGTCATGTCCAGCACGATGGTGACTCCTTTAAAAAAGGCTTCGCACGCTGCAAATCATGCATTTTTAAGTGGCAGAAAATCAGAGCTTGCGGTCTTATGGGGAGCCACGATTTTGAAATCGAATTAAGCTGTCAACTGGGTATAACGAAATTATTCGAATTTGCACCGTTTCATTTTTAGTTTCAAACACCACTATAATGTTTTTTACATGTATATAGTATACTAAAGGTGTGAGGATATATTAATGAAAACTGTATAACAATAATTTAGTTAACGGACATCAGAAATATCTCATTTATACAGGGTGTTCCACAATTATTTTAGCAGCCGAAGATGAGGGGTAGCTGAGGTCATTTGAAGTAACTTTTTCCTTTGCGAAAATGCAATCTGCGGCTTTAACCTTGACATAACCTTGACATAACCTTGATATGTCAAGGTTATATTCAAGGTTATGTCAAGGTTGTGTCAAGGTTATTGATGATATTCTTCATATTTCTCTAACAAACATATCCCTTACGTCCTTTAACACGATTATTATTTATTAAATTAGCTTTGCGAATCATTCGTTGAACTGTTTTCGGTCACGGAATTATTTAAATTAAAATATCATTTACGTACTTTGTTAATCTTCACTGTACACCTTGCTTAAAAATTTCATATGTTACACACAAGATGTCATGCACACTAGAAAATTAAAACGGCCGTCACGGTTAAATTACTTACTATTTCGGGTCCGAAAAATTAGTAAATATTCATCAGACGTTCTATAGTAAAGGTGAACCGCGTTTTTCTTAAAAATATCACTGTTACGTAGTAAAAGAAAATCCGGTAAGTTCTCGCTTCGTGATTTGTTCAATACTTCGAACGCG